AGAACTGGAATTTCTTGCCAATCCTTTAAGATGGCAATGCCAAAGCTCACAGATGTCACACAAGTTACTTAAAACTAAGCTCATGTTTAGAAGTGCAGTAAGAACAAGAGCCCAGATGTCAAAGCTTTATCCATCAATTCTCACAGCTTCTCTTTCCTCGTATAAGAAAGTTGGGCCTCATCTTAAAAACAAAGAAACAAACAAAGAAAAACTAATTTGGAGTCACAGTATACTGTGGAATACTATGCAAGAGCTAAGAAAAGAAAGAGGTGAAGTAATATGCGGATTAATGTGGAATAATCTCTACAATATTTGTCAAAATGACAAAATAAAAATGGAGAACAATGATGACAGTCAGCTGTCATTTGTTTTTTTAAAAGAGAGGAATACAAATGTGTGTGCATAAGTTCTTGTTGTCTTTTGGTATCTGTGTGGGATTGGCTTCAGGACTCCCGGTGGAAACCAAAATTTTGGATGCTAAAGTCCCTTACATAAAATGGTGTAGCATTTGCATATAACCTTTGCACATCCTTGCCATAAACTTTAAATCATCTCCAGATTACTTATAATACCTAATACAATATAAATGCTATGTAAATATTTATACTATATTGTTTAGGGAATAATGACTAGAAAAAGTTTGTTTCAGTACAGGTACAACCACTGTAGACCTAATTACATAGTAAGTGTCAGCAATAACATAACATTTTTTTCAAAATATTTTCTTTTTAAAAATATGTTTTTATTGATTTTATAGAGAGAGGAAGGGAGAGGGAGTGAGAGAGAAACATCAATTGGCTGCCTCCTGCACAACCCCTACTGGAGATGGAGCCTTTAACCCAGACATGTGCCCTGACCAGGAACTGAACCAGTAATCTTTTGGTTCATGGGATGATGCTCAACCAACTGAGCCACTTCGGCCGGGCAAGAATATTTTCAATTAAATTTGCAGAGGCTAAACCTGTGGATCCAGAGGGCCAACTGTATATATGTGTGTGTGTGTATTCACGTACATATACAGAATATACTTGCATATACACAGATAATCCCTGGAAAGTTATCAAAGAAACTGGGAACAACTTGTCTCTGGGAAGGGAATTAGGGGAGAGGAGAGAGGCTAAGTTTTCACCACAGACACACTTTGTTATCTGGAAAATTCTTTTACATGAATAAGTGTTACATATCCAAAATATCTGCCAAGACACTAATAAATAAATTTTATCTTATTCATATAACAAGGAGTCAACATTCTGAAACAGAATCCACTATAGAGTTCCTATTATGCGAATTAGTTCCCCTACTATGCTTAAAAGATGAGATTCTTTAGCCCTGGTTGGGTGGCTCAGTTGGTTAGAGCGCTGTCCCATAGACCAAAAGGTTGTGGGTTTGATCTCCCACCTCGGCGTGTATGGGAGGCTACTCATAGATGTTTTTCTCCCACACTGATGTTTCTCTCTCTCTTTTTCCCTCCCCCTTCCTCTCTCTCTAAAACCGATTTTAAAAAAATCACCATATCTTTGGTTGAGTGGGAAAAAGAGAGAGAGAGAGAGAGAGAGAGAGAGAGATTGATTTTCTTTAAAGAATGAAAGAAAATGACAGGAAGGGAGGGATTACCCATTTATATCAGGTAAGAAAATCAGGTAAGCAAGATACAAAGGAATGTGTTGTTATAATTCTTCCTTGGGTGTGATCAGTCCAAAGGATTATGAAACTAAGAGGCACTCTCATGATGTAATCGGTATCTATGTGAACTTGCCCTTATTATTTGCTTGCTTTTTCTTCTTAGAAAGTCATGCATGCTTATTTTAGAATCTCTGGAAAGTACAAGTATAAAGAGGATGAAAAATGAATTACCCAGAATCTTGCTAATCAGAGACAACCACTATTAATATTTTGGCATTTTCCTTCCAATTTTTCTTCCATGTTTTTGGTTTGTTTGTTTTGATTTTACATAGTTGAGATTAGTCTAGCTGTGTTATTTTGTATCCTTGACAATTTTCCCTCTTAATATTACATCAAAGTTATTTTTCTCATAATGAAAACTCTTGGTAAACACAACTTATAATGATCGAACAGTATTCCACATCTCCTGAGATGGCTGTTCTCCTTTTAATCTGTTACTGTGGCAAATTATACCGACTGGGATTTTTTATTGCTAAACTAAACCTTGTACTCCTAGAATAAAACCAACTTGGGAATGTTACATTATTTTAATATAATGCTGAATTCAGTTTGTTAATATTTTGTTTAGGATATTTGCATTTATTTAAGATTGGTCTGAAAATATTTTGTCTTGTATGGTCTTTATTAGGGTTTGGTAAGATTATGACAGCCTTGTAAAATGAATTGGAGAGTGTAACCTCTTTTTCTACTCTTTTGAACAGCTGATGTAAGACTGGAATCGTTTTTTCCTTAAGTATTTGGTAAAACTAGCCAGTAAAGTTGTCTGGGATTGAGTTTTCTTTGTGGCAAGGTTTTTAATCATGAACTCAATTTTTAAAAATAGTTATGAGGCCCTAACCGGTTTGGCTCAGTGGACCCTAACTGGTTTGGCTCAGTGGATAGAGCGTCGGCCTGCGGACTGAAAGATCCCAGGTTCGATTCCAGTCAAGGGCATGTACCTTGGTTGCGGGCATATCCCCAGTGGGGAGTGTGCAGGAGGCAGCTGATCGATGTTTCTCTCTCATCGATGTTTCTAACTCTCTATCCCTCTCCCTTCCTCTCTATAAAAAATCAATAAAATATATTTAAAAAAATAGTTATGAGAATATTCAAGTTTCTATTTCTTCCTGTGTCAATTTTGGTAAGTTGTTTTTTCTAGGATTTTTTCCTTTTTCATCTACATTTTCACAATTTTTGGTATGGAGTTTTTCAAAATAATCTTGTATTATCTATTTAGTGACTGCAGATCTGTACTGTAACTCTTTTTATTTCTGTTACTATTTGTGTTTCTCTGGTATTTGTTACTCTTCCATGTTTCTGACCCATTTCCTCAAAGGTTTAGCAAGTTTGTTAGTCTTTTCAAAGAACCAATGTTTGGTTTTGCTGTCCTTAAATTTCCTATTTCATTAATTTCTGCTCTTATCTTTACTGCTTCCTTCCTTTTATTCTAGTTTTCTTTTCCTGTTTGTTTTCTAATTTCTTGAGCTAAATGCTTTAGCTTATTGATTTTTGGCCTTTCTTCTTTTACAATATATGAATTAAAAAGCTGCAAAATTTTCTTTAAATATTGCAGCCTTCAAATTCAAATGATATCAGGAAAAATTGGTTCTAGGTGTTAATCTTGCCTCTTTTAGTTCAATCTTCTCCCAGATACCGGCCAGTAATAATTTTCTATGATTTGTATATTTTAATCAGTTTTAATTATTACTTAGCTTTGCTTTACCAAAAGGTGATGCCCTGCATAATTTTCCCATATAGGGGTACTATACAGATACTATATATATAGAAATATTATAGAAATATTATAAACATCTAACACCTATCATTATACATATATCTTTATTGCATTTAAAATATTTTCTCAAGACAGATTTCCAAAAGCAGAAATGTTGGGTACACACTGACCCCACTTCACCTCCCTGGTGAGTTTTGCACATGCCTCCCTAGAAGAGGCTGTCAGGGCCCTGGTTAAAGAGCAGCAGCCTTGTGTAGAGGGTCAGTGACATGACGAAAAAACTGCCATTGATCACTCATTCAATCTACAGGGTGGGGCAAAAGTAGGTCTACAGTTATTCGTATGGAAAATAATACAATAATTTATAAATAACACAAGAATAAACTGTTTCACGTACTCACAACCATAAACCTACTTTGCCTGACCCTATATATTCACTAAGCTTCTATAGTACATGGCCTATAGTGGGTGAGGGGTAAATACTGGTTAAATTAATGAAGGGCAACTTGGTATGGATCAGGGATGCCCTCATAGACCTGGAAAATCTTGTGGGAGAAAGATAATTGAGGAAAATATATAATTATAAACAGAAACATATATGCAATGAATAAAAAGTATGTTCTATGTATAATGGGGGACCCAAATGAGGGGGGAAGGAAGACCACAGATGGCCTCTTTGAAAATGTGACATTTAAATGAGACGAAGGATGACAAACAGCCAGAGTGGGGGTAAGAGTGCTCCGCACAGAAGAAACAGCCTGTGTAAAGGCCCTGAAGCAGGAACGAAGGAGAGCTGGCTACACAATCTCCATTTCCACATGTCACTTGCTCCTAAAGTCAGTGGGAGCACAGAGGAGAGGAATGGCAAAGATTCACAACCCAGAAACTCAGAAGGGAGAATGAAAGGAGACTAACTGCAGTTTTAAAGAGGCTCACAAGATAGCACTAGGAACCACTACACTGCCTCCTGCTAAAAGTATGCAAATGGTCAGGATTTTCTAAACCCTGATGTTTGTCTACACAGTGATAGTGACAGGGCCAGTTGCTTATATACAAAACAGCCTTCGCCTCAGAAAAGGCCTCCTATTTCTAAGCTGTTTTCCAGGACTGATTCTAATTTAGGAAGATACAGTTTAATAAAAAATATATAAATCACAGAGGGCTAAACAGGATGCAGACTTTTTACCAAAAAAAAAAGCATGAAATCAATCATTTCATTTTGGGGTACACTTTTGGCAGGAAGGCTGAGGTCTGCCTTGAAAAACAGTTACTTGAAATCTGCCTAGGGCAGTGGTCGGCAAACTGCGGCTCGGCAAACCGCTCGCGAGCCACATGCGGCTCTTTGGCCCCTTGAGTGTGGCTCCTCCACAAAATACTGACTTCTGCGCATGGGCCACGAAGTTTCAATCGCACTGTACGTGCGCGCCCCCACGTGGTATTTTGTGGAAGAGCCGCACTCAAGGGGCCAAAGAGCCACATGTGGCTCGCAAGCCACGGTTTGCCAACCACGGGCCTCGGTAAACCGGGCTAGCGACCCCAACACATGACTCCTAAGCATGTTTGGAAGGGACAAAACAAGCATGGAGTGAGGAGGCCAACGTACTGTTCTCGCGGACCAGGCAGAACTCCCACACGCTCTGGCTCTCCAAAGTGCTCTCCAGGTCCACGGCGACATTGGGCTCACTCTGCTTCTCCAGGCGGTACTGAGGGCCTGGAAGATCAAAGGGGCAGGAGGAGGGGAGGAAGTCTGAAACAGTGTATTTAACATGGAAAAAACACCGCATACTGGCAAAAAGCTGTTAAAGCATTAGGAAAATGCTGGCGTCTGTCTTGAGGGTCTAGCTATCCAAGATGGAAAGAGTTTGGGTATTTTCCGCACAAGGTTTCACACACGTGTCTGTTCTATTATTGGGCCTGTTTTCGCTCAGTTCTCCCCAAGGTGAGAGGTAGATGGCTTTTGAGTCAGACTGACCTGGAATCACAACATAGCCACATGGTTTCTCAGATGTGAGAGGTAACCTACCTTTTTCTGAGCCTGTTTCCTAATAAGGAGTGCTTATCACCTTGAAGGCTTATTATGAACAATAGAGATGATATATTCTAAGTACTCTAAGTAAGGAAAAATACTCATTCCTACAAAAAGTACTTATTAATAATCATTAAATAAGAATGAAAAATCAATTATAAGCAGGAATAAGGTATGTTTAGAACTCTAATATAATAACAGCCCCAAAATTCCTTTTTTTAAAACACACACAAAACTCAGGTTTCTGGGTTTCGGTGATAGAAGGACAATGGATGCTGATTCATGTTTTTTGTTGAAACATTTGTGAAAACACAAAGATACAGGTTTAATAATCCTAGAAACCTGGAATCCTAGCTATGCCTGTCACACAGGGGGTTCTGGCAGATCTTGATAAAACACTGGGGTGTTTTATACATTTACTCATGTATTTCTTTGTCAAGCCAAATGACAATCTTGTTCTTCTCAGATAACACCTAACGGGTCCAATGATCAGAGTCAAAAGACTGCTCCTGTTGCGAATGGTTACTGAAAAGATTAGAGGCGTAAGAAACTCTTACTGTTTTGGCCATGAAAGGCGTGTTTGGTCAGACAGGAGAGGTGAGAGATCGGAGGGAGCAGCAGAGGCCTCCCAGGCAGAACACATCTTTTTAGACTGTTCTTCAGCGGCTGTCACTTAGCCAGCCTTCTCCTTTCTCAGGCAGAGCATCTGACTCATCTCAGCCATTCTCCTCTCCCATATCCTATGCTCACTGTAGCACGTAGATTCACGGTATATCTGAGCTGCTCTCTAACTTAATTTCATCAACACTCTGTCAGTTCTCAGAGTTCTTACATACATTCAGTCCTTTTTTTTTTTTTTAAACAATACTTACAGCTTTTAAACTGTTATAAAGTAAACAATGCTCAAAACACATATAACTATGTATTTAAGCAAGTACATGCTCAGAAGTCTACACCATTCTTATAAACTCTCATACACTATATTCAGGTCAAGAATGTACCCATTTCAACATTACACATAGTTCAATTTAATTTCAAAAAAATTAAATAAAGGTATGGGAACACAGGTAATTCTTGGTATCTGTCACCCATCTGTGATAACATTTGTCAATCATCAAACACACTTTCTGCTGGTCACTGCAGCCTTCACATTCACTGGTGGGAGTAATCACAGGAAAATCGTGCCCAGCTGAACTTTAAGAAAACCTAGCTGGTGAGAGATTCCTATGCACCCTCTCCTTCCCCGTCCCTGAGCCACTGTTCACAGCTGGGGCACCCTCACCCCCGAAGCTGCTTTCCAAGACACTGGCCTGTTATATGAGCTCTCATCCCCAATAACTCCCAGCAACACTGTGTGTGAGGCACTGACATCCACTTCTATGAATTTACAGAGATATCTGGGTACAAAGTTTAGCTATAATAAATCATTTTTTCATGATAGGGAATAACCTAGATGTAATAAAATACTGTGAAATACCTGGTTAAACAAAATACTGTGAAGTACTGTGAAGATATTAATGGTAACGTCGCAAAAATATTTAATCTTATAAAACACTAGAGGCCCGATACACAAAATTCGTGCACAGGGGGGAGAAGGAGGTGTCCCTCAGCTTGGCCTGCGCCCTCTCGCAATCTGGGACCCCTCGGGGGATGTCCAACTGCCGGTTTAAGCCCTTAACCGGCAGTTGGACATCCTCTCGCAACCTGGGACTTCGTGCTCCTAACTGCCGCCTGCCTGCTCCTTAGTGCTGCCGTGGAGGCAGGAAAGGCGTCTGCCATGGCTGGTGACATCCGTGAGCCCAGCTTCTGGCTGAGTGGTGCTCTTGCTGTGGGAGCACACTGACCACCAGGGGGCAGCTCTTGCATTGAGTGTCTGCCCCCTGGTGGTCAGTTCATGTCATAGCGACCGGTCGTTCCACTGTAAGGGTCGCTGGGCTTTTATATATATAGATGTTTATAATATGTTACTTTATGAAACAGAAAATTATAACAATATGTGCAGAAAGATTGCAATTATGAAAAATATATGTAAAGTCACAGGGGGAAAAATACTGAAAGGTTATTTCCAAAATGTGAGTAGTGGTCATAGTGGGGAAATGAGTGCTTTTCTTTCTCTTTGGTGTTATTACGTATTTTTCACATTTCTTATACTAAATAAAGGCTACTTTTATAACTTATTAAACATCGTATACACTTACAAGCCCTCTGATTTCTTACTATGCCATTTTTCTGAGGATACTATAATTATCACACATCATGGCATCTGCAATGGGTCTTTTATATGCAAAATTTAATCCAAATTAGACATTATCAGTTTATGTAGATCGATATTTTCATCTTAAGTAACCCTGCAACCTAGCATGCTTCCTGTGACTTCGAGGGCAGTGTACAGGGCATTGGGCTTCTCAAGCTGTCTACCTGACAGCTGGATTAAAGTAAGCGGCCCCTCTCCTGATTGCTGGGAGCCAACATGTGGCTGCATTAGGGTGGACTTCAGGCTGGTCTCCTTTGTACACTTTCTCCTTCCAGGCACTGCAGCTGCCTGGGAAACATGGATGAGGGAAACCAGGGTAGGTAGGGAGTACTAAGAAGGGTCCTGTATCCCTAAACACAAGTGCCTGCACCACTCTCAAAGCCATAAATGCCATCATTCAACATTTACTTTCTTGTTTCTTGGGTGTTGCAGATATTTCTATTGAAATAGTTTGTTTCTGGAAAGTAACTTTAGGACTTCCCCCTTGAAGCTTAGTATGATGATGACTCTCATATACTGAATGACCATACATGCCAAGCACTCTATATATGCTACCTTACTGAATCCTCGCAGCAACTCTAGGTAGTAGATATTATTATACCCCTTTGCCAGACTGGGTCCCTGAAGGTTGGCAGGATGAAGTAACCTGCCCAAGATCACAAAGGTCGGAAGTAGAAACAGAAAAATGAAACCCAAGGATCTTTGACTCTAAAGCCTGTGTGTTTTGAACCTTTCTTTCTCTTGCAAACTATAAATTACTGGCCAATTATAAAGAGGCCATAGTTTATAGCATACGTATAGATTTTTATAGATTTGTGGATTCATTTGGGTTCTGAATCACTTAACTTCTGGTTTCTATGAATTCAAAATGAAAATGATCTGAAATAATTTATTTTAATGAAACCCACACATACTAAATATCCCATGCTATGGCTGTATCCCAGGTCCTTGTGAGGACAGAATCGCCTTATCTTCCCATCCATCCAGGAAAACTACCTCCTGCCTGTCCTTAAAAATATTCCTGTGTGTGCCCAGTCTTGTTAGTAACTAAAATTTTGACTATCATCTGCTTTGGGTACTCTGCTCTTCCATAAAAGCTAAAGTACAACTTGGAAATCTACTTTTGAACTTAGCAAACAACTGATGGGTCTTGACTTTGGGGAAGGTAGATGGTTAAACTGTAGGCGAGACTCAAGATCTAAACCCAAAGGGAAAACTCCCTGTTCCAAAGATCAATTTCTCTCTAACTCTTGCCCAAACACTGGGTAACTTATCTCACATAGAAAGACTATTTTACACATTTCCCCCTGAAAAATTCAGATTGATAACTTCAGGCCATGTTGTGTAAAGGCAGGGTAGAGATCAGAAGCAATATAGCGTGATGATGAAGGGCATGGACTTGGGGCCAGATTACCTCGGTCTGGCCCTGTGAGTCCCACCTCAGAGGCCTGTGAGGATTCAATGAGTTAACAGTTGTAAAGCAGTTAGAACAGCGTCTGGTACATTAATAGTGCTATTTAAGTGTCAGCTATCATCACTCCTCATCATGAGACTGGAACAATACTAAGATCACGTAACATAACATAGCAGGGCCTATTTTGTGCCAAGTACTATGCAGATCATTTCATTTACTGTCACGCTAGGATTAAAGAGTATGCATTCTGGTCTGTGACTCACAGAGTTAAGTAACTCACACAACATCTCACAGGAAGTGGTGGAACTAGGATTCATACCCAGAGCTCTCCAGGCCTGCACTCTCTATATTCATACGAACCAGAGTGCCTTGTTCATGACAAGTACTTAATAAATGCCTGTTGATTATAATCAAGAGTATGACAACCCAGACCTCCTATCTATCAAACTATAGTTTCTATAAAATGCTTGTTTAATTTTTAGGCAGCTGACATGGGAGGAAAGAAAAAACAGCAGCCAAAACCATTTTAAAAAGACAAGCTGTGAGGTCAGTTTCTTTTAATATACTTCTGCCAAAGAAATGATTATATAAAATATAAAAGGCTCTTTCACACTGAACAGGACATAGTTCTCAAGGCAACAGCCACCCTTTGGAAAGAGGTTTTAAAATGTCACAGCTGCGCATGAAGCCGCAAGCCCTCCACTTCACAGCAGAGGGGACACAAAGGGAGATTCTGGGAAGCAGTTCCTCTGCGGTGACAAGGAAATCTGTCGGGCACTCCAGTGACGCATTATTGCAGTAATGCCATGCCACCAAATGGGCTAGAACAAAATACTGCTCTGGGCACTTTGGGAGGGTTCCAAGTTCTAATACTCGAGCAGGATTTTGGCAAACATCTCAGTGCATAAATTTCAAAGAAAATCTGTAGTATCTGCTGGGTGGGGGATGCATACATGCTAGTCCAGTTTTCTCGGTCTCTGTAATTCTGGACTGAAACATAAAAGGCGTCAGTATGCA